ATCACGTAGTTCCCTTTCTATTGTTTCAATAGTATATCACGTAGTTCCCTATCAACTGCTTCAGTAAAATATCGCGTAGATCCCTTTCTATTGTTTCAATAAAACATCACGTAGTTTCTTATTTATTGTTTTAATAGAATATCACGCAATTTTCTAGCTAGTGCTTCAACAGAATATCACGTAGATTCCTGTCTATTGCTTTAGTAGAATACCACGTAGTTACTTAGTTGTTCTGTTTCTGTAAGATGTCATTTAGTACAATATCACACGTTATCAGTTTATCATCTAATGACTCAACGACATATTGTGTCTGTTGGATGTTGCTTTTAATTTATGTTTTGTAAATGTTAACTTTTATTTTTAAAACCCTTTTTAATAATGGTCTTGTTATCATTGTAAGTCATAATTCTGGAGATGACTTGTAACTGTTTCAAATATTTATTTCGTAAATATTTAATTCCAGCGACACTACATTTCAATAAGGTACTTTTAACTAAAATCAGTTTTTAAAACTCATTCTAATTGGTATACCATCGGCATTGAGATTTTCATATATTCCAGTTAATTTCACTGACTTTGATTTCGAGCTTAACTCTACGTAAGATTTTCAACGTTCGTTTTCTCGATTCACTCATAATCTGCCATCTTATTTCTATTTATAGTCACAGAATTGAAGAAATAAAATAATTATAGATATATCTTTGACGTTTCCCACGTTACGTCTAACCCTAAAAAAAAATGATTTAGGTACCACTTTTATCTGTAATGGAATTGTCCGAGAAGTCGTTTCTTAATTTTTCAGATATGGCGGGAAACACTCCTCTTGCGTTACCTGGACCAGGAATTTCTGAAAGAAAAAGCGAGAATAATCTGGAAGTATCATTATATTATCGTTTGAAAGTCTCGTTCAAAGTTCTCGCGACTTAAATTCGCACGGAAATGGAGTTTTCTTATCTTTCAACAACAGTTTCTCATGCTAAGTATCTCAAACTAATGAAATCTATCATTAAATTATTTCTTTCAATCCTGCGCTAAACGTTTGAGTATTTTCCATTTTTATTCGGTCCATGTTTCGAATTCTTCATGAATATGTGGCAAAAGTCGATTTCAAAATGGAGTCATTTTAATAAAACGGTTTAACACTGGTTCTGAATTCGTAAGATTGTTTGGTTTGTTGTAGCACAAAATGGGATATCTACCAAGGGGAATCGAACCCAGGATATTAGGGTTGTAAATCTGTTAAGCTTGCCGCTGGGGGATAGTTGTGTTAAGTTGTTTCGCGGAAGAGTCTTAGGTTTGTATAGCTAAAGCTCACTCTTCACCTCATTGTATCAGATGATTTATTATATTTTAGATGTACTTTAAATTCAATATTCACCTTTCAATAACTAAATGTACAGTAGAAACTACATACTGACATTCAGGTAAAGGTAATCCTGAACACTTGGAGGAACTTATATATATATATACGTTGAACTTTGTGCAAGAAATGAAACCGTTAATCATTAAAACTAACGAATAATAACATTTATTGAATGTTTCGGAATATACATAAAAACTATAATCACAAACAATGTCTTGATTATTAAATAAAACCTTATGTACTACGGTATTCTAAGACTTCAGAAAACAGCTAAAATGTGATAGAAAAAAGATACCAAATAAATACAACGTTTCGTTACTGTACCTGATGATGTCACGTTTGGTTAGGTTTGTTATGAATTTCGCGAAAAGCTACACGAGAGCTATCTGCGCTAGACGTCCCTAATTTAGCAGTGAAAGACTAGAGTGAAAGCAGCTAGTCATCACCACCCACCGCCAACTCTTGGGCTACTCTCTTATCAACGAATAGTGGGATGGACCGTCACATTATAACGACCCTACGACACGTAGATTGCGAGTCTAGCGCCTTAACCACCTAGTCGTGAGGGGCCTGATGTCATGTTTAGTTATGCCAAGTATCTGATGATGTCACGTTAACAGTGGCGAAACGTTGTTTTTATTGATTTTTTTTATATTCCATTTTAGCTGTTTTCTGAAGTGTTAAAATATTTTAGTGTTTGCGATACCTCCAACACCTATATTTGTAATTTTAAGGACAATGTTAAGACTCAAAGTGGAGGGGGATTGTAAAAGCTGAAGATGAAATTTGCGTATTCCGAAACGTTCCGAAACGTTCAACTAGTATGTTCTTATTCGTCACTCCTTGGGTTGTACTGTTCATCATTAGATCATGTTTTCTGCCTCATGAATCTATTAAGCACGACAGCTATAAAACTACAATATGTTTAACCCTAACAATAATATAACCCACAAATTGTCAGTTTGACTCAGATCCGTCAGCGTTTTTTCCTTGCTGAATTTACGTGTATCGTGAGGAATCAAGATGAACCATCAAAGTCCGAATGTTATTCATTTTGTTATCCACTCTTAGGGTTTTAGTGTTTGCAGATTTCCGCTGCCGGTAACATGTATTATCATCTTCGTTTTCATTTTCTAGCATTATGTTTAAAAATGTAGGTATATTTTATCACTGTTATGTAACGAGGATGAGGAAAAACTCATTATCATTCTGAAACAAAAAATAAATGCATTGTCTTCTCACTGTATAGTAACATTTGTCCCACCCTGGGCGGGTGTGTTAGCAGATGAGCTCGTGGTTTGTCTTAATAGAACTAGTTATTCTCATTCGATTACCGTACTCTTCATTAAGTAACAGCATAAATTATTACGTGAAACACTGTTCATTAAGTAACAAACTTTTTATTAAAAAACAGCATTAATGATTAAGTAACAACACTGGTCATTAAGTAAAAATATTGTTCCCTAAGAAACAATACTGGTCATTAAGAGACAACATTGTTCACTAACAAACAGCAATGGTCATTAAGTAACAACACTGGTCATTAAGAAAAAACATTGTTCAGTAAAAAACATCACTGGTCATTCAGAAACAACACTGGTCATTAAATAACAACATTGGTCATTAAGAAACAACACTGGTCATTAAGTAACAACATTGTTCACTAACAAACAATACTGGTCATTAAGAGACAACATTGTTCACTAACAAACAGCACTGGTCATTAAGTAACAACACTGGTCATTAAGAAACAGTACTGGTCATTAAGAAAAAACATTGTTCACTAAGAAACAGTACTGGACATTAAGAAAAAACATTGTTCACTAAGAAACAACACTGGCCATTAAGTAACAACATTGTTCACTAAGAAACAGTACAGGTCATTAAGTAACAACACTGGTCATTAAGAAACAACACTGGTCATTAAGTAACAACACTGGTCATTAAGTAACAACACTGGTCATTAAGAAACAACACTGGTCATTAAGTAACAACACTGGTCGTTAAGTAACAACACTGGTC